CTGAACTCGGGGTGCCCGGTGTGGCATGCCTGGCCCACGAAGGCCATGTCCACAAAAAGCTTGCCTCGAAATATAAGCCCGGCCTGTGGACTCGCATCACGGGCAGATTCTGTTCTACACCCTGCAAAGTCCGATTTGAGTCACTAAAATTCAAGTCACACGCAGCTTCTTAGGGACGTGTCCACTATTCGAAAATAGAAGCAACCTCTCCTTTAGGGCTCCCGCTGACATTAGCGATGAGAGCAACCAGATGCCAAGCTTGGCAGAGCCTCTGTGGGAAGGGGAGGTGGCCTGGGCCCCCTGCACCCGAGCACTGGCCTCATGCCAGCCCCCTAATCCAAGGGGCAGGCGGCTGAGCCAAGGGCACAGCTAGGGAGCTGTCCAGGTGCTGAAGTAACTCAAGACCAAGTTCCACATGGGTCGCAGCTACTTCACATGACTGTGGCTACTCCATGTGACCAAAGCTACTCCACGTGACCTCGGCTACTCTGCATGATTACCCACAGCTACTCCGCATTACTACAGCTACTCCATGTGACCACAGCTACTCCACATGACCACCCACAGCTACTCCACACCACGGCTACTCCATGTGACCACGGCTACTCTGAGTGTGACCACCCATGGCTACTCCACGTGACCACACCTACTCCACATGACCACCCACAACTACTCCACATGACCACAGCTACTTCATGTGACCACAACTACTCTGTGGCTACCCCTTGTGTGACCATAGCTTCCTGCGTACTATAAGAGTCGTTCTTGGGGACACGGCTCTTGGAAGTGCTGCACTCTGGCATGACGGCACCAGCCACACTGCGCAGTGCCGAGTGCTAAGGAGGCATCGTCGGGCGGAGCTGAGCCTGTACGTACGTTGGTGACGCAGAAGAGGGAGAGCAGGAAGGTCACCAGGACGATGAAGAGGGTGAAGAGCTCCCGGTGCCTGTGCAGCAGCTGGAATTCGTCCGTGAGCCCGGTGATCACCGACTCCATCCCGCCCATCTGCAGCCAACACAGAGCAGGGGGCGCGCTGGGGGGGCACACGGCGCCAGCCTAGGCACCAGCTACGTGTGGCTCAGACGGTACACCCGGAAAATGGACACGCAGGGCAACCTGCACGGTGTCCCGGGCACAGAAAGCCCTAAGGACAAGACAGCCCTCACGAGAGCTTCTCGTGACACGGCCACTGGAGAAAGGGGCCAGCGGGTGGACGCTCTGTCCCCAGCGGTCATTTGCTCAGCCGCTCTGCAGTCCCTGGCGGGGAGAAGCACTATGTGGCTAACGCCGTGCCACGCACTGTGCCGCCGCGAAGGGCAGCCGTGCCGGACTTCCCAGCAGACGCCTCTGCCACAGGCCTGACTGCGGTCTGCTCCCAGGAGCACGGGCCTGGCCACCGGCTATGTGCTCACCGACGAAGGCCTACGGACCCCGAGCGTCATCGTGATGGGGGGTCACCCCTGAGGACCCTCTTTGCCTCACTCTGCTGAGACCGCCTCCCCTGGGAAGTGCTGTCATGGCTTCGTCCCCACCAGACACGTCCAAGGGCGTGGTCCGCCTCGTGGGGTGGTGACCCGGCTGGTGGGAGATGGAGGGCAGGGCCAGGGAGCGCGACCTGCATTCTCCTGGGGAGGGACCTATGGTTCTCTGCAACTTCCAGGAGGCTCAGGTGAGCAAGGCATCCACGGCCCGTCACAGTGACCCTGAGGTCCTAGCTGCTGGTCGCCAGCAGGTGATGGGGAAGGTGGCTAAGGAAGTCCGGCAGACCAAGGCCCCCACCCCCTTATCCCCTAGCACCCCCCACCCCGCTGCCCGCACACGCGCACACGGGGCTGCACACAAGATGGTCAGTGGGCCAGGCCTGGGCTGCGGCTGGAGCCTCCTGCACCCTATCCGTGAATGCCTGCATTCCTCCTGCACCCTATCCGTGAATGCCTGCATTCCTCCCAGGGGCTAGGGTGTCAGGGAGAGTGACAGCTCACGAGGGACCAGCCCTCATCTGTGTGGTCACTTCGCACTGCCCTCCCAAGCTGCCCTCTCGCTGCGTGCGCTCAGGGCCTGTGGCAGCTTCAGCAGGGGGCACTGCTGGTGCCCCCGAGGGAAGGAGAGACAGGCTGGTCCAAGCACCCCATCCCGGAATGGGGTTCGGGCAGTTGCGGGGCCCCTGCCGGCGGCCCGCACGGGGCTGTGTGCGAGCGCAGGCCCTCTGGGGGATGGCCCGGCTGCTGGTGGTCCGGGCAGGAGGTGCCACGGTCACTCACCGCGCTGTCGATCCCCAGGGTGAGCAGCATGACGAAGAAGACCGCGGCCCAGGCCGAGGACAGCGGGAGTGTGGCCAGCGCCTCGGGGTAGATGATGAAAATCAGCCCGGGCCCTGAAAGCAGACCCTCCGGTTGCCACCGAGCTGCAGTGTCACAGGCGCCCTCCACCCCCCCGAGGCTGTGGCCCCTTCAGGCGCCTCCAGACCCAGCGGCACGAAAGCCCACGCCGGCTCTCCTGTGCTGCCTCCTATGCGCTCGGCAGACACCTGGCCCTGACCGTGATCCAGGCCGCTCCTGTGCCTCGCCGTCCACCCTGGGACAGGAGCGGAGGGGCTTCCAGGGTCCGGCCTGGGTCCCTGAACTCAGGGGCGCCTCCGGGCTCTGTCCCCGGGCAGGGCGCAGACGCCCACGGGCATGCCTGCATGTTCACACTACGGTTCACGTGTGACACGCCAAAAACATTTTCCTGGGCGGCGGATCACCCCATGAACGTCCTCAACAGCACATGCCGCCGGGGACGGCATGGCACGGGCGCTCAGCAGGTGGCTGGGGAGGCGCGTGGCCTGCTCACATGGGGTGGCCCTCTCACCACCCTGCACACCCGCTGGGCCAGGACGGGGTGCTGGCAGCCACCGTGCTCTGTGGCCCCAGCGGGCGGGGTCTGGCGCAGGGAAGGCCTGGGCTGGGCGGAAGGAGGGGGATGGGAGCAGTAGCCCTCAACCAAGGTGAGATGCGGCTCGGCCTCAAATTATCCCCAAGCAAACAGTACTCCCACGGGCAGTGGGCAGCCGCTGGGCCGGGTGGTCAGCGTGGGCAGACGCACACACAGCTGACCAGCAGGCCTTCGCTTCCGGAGCGAGGAGTCCAGCCTGTCCGAGGTCCCCAGGCTGCGGGGACCATTCTTCAGGGTAGGATGGAGGCCAGAGCTGGCGCCTCCCGCAGGCTCCAGGCCCTGCTGTGGGGCTGGGCCCCGGGTTCCCGACGCTCCCTTAAGGCAGGGCCAGGGGCTCTTCCAGACGCTCTGAGCTCTGCGTGCGTCAGCCACGAGCCCGGGAGGAGCTCCTCAGCTCGGCCGACCTAATGCCAGCACCCTCACCTTTCATTTCCGGGCCTGAGTTAACATTTCACCCTGTTTTCCCGAGCATTAGAGCTTCGGGTGACATTTACTTTGCTCGCCGTGCACGTGCAGAGAGGATGCACTGCCAGGAGTTGACGGCGGGTTCCGGGCTACTGCTGTTTACCGTCATAAAGGGCACGAAGCGGGGAGCGCGCGTCAGCGAGCGAGTAAATTCCAGCGCTCCACCTTTGCTCACGCTCGCCCACCTTTGTTAGGTTTCGTTCCTGGAGGAAAGAACGTGGACGTGGAAACACGCGTTCCAGCCCCCGTTTCCTGCGTGATCTCAGGGGGTCTGGGAGTCTGTTTCCTACGTTCAAAGTGGGGGTGCGATGGGATGATGAAGCAGCCCCTGGCCGCCCTCTGACGCCCGCCCCCAGCCCTGAACAGCCCCCTGACTGGAGAGTTCAGAGACCAGAAGTTGAGGAGGCAGCACTGCTGGGCTTTTCCGAGTCTAAGGACCGGCCCCCAGTAGCGGCAGGGACGTCCCCACCAGTGGGAGGAGAGGAGGAGGCTTGCAGACTCAGGGCGCAGACACCCCTGAGCCAGGGGACAGCCTCCAGGGGGAGGCCCCTCACCACTCAGCCGCAGAACAGTACTAAAGGCAGGCGAGGGGTGCAGCCATCTCAGGGGACCTTGGACCCTGGGCTGACCCAGTCAGGGCTGCCCATGCCTCGGTTTCCATCACGGACTAGAACCACAGAGACCCCTGCGTGCCCACGGGCTGCAGCAGCCGGAGTGCCCGCCTCAGCACCCACATCCGTGCCCAGCCTCCCGCATGCCCTGCCTGTCCGCTTCCTGCTGGGCCCGAGCCTGCCCTGCGCCCTTGTGCCCTCTGCCCGGCCAGCTCCTGGCGCAGCCCCATGTGCCTGAGATTGCAGAGGTTTCTCGACACCATTCGATCCCTTCTGAACACGTCACGGTCACCGGGCGTTGGGAGGGAAAGGCTTTGGGGCGGATTCGCCACTCACGCAGAAGGCAGCCTGCATCTTCCCGCTGACCGCGCCCAAGTCTGCAGCCTCGCTGCTTGGAAGAGCTCAGCGCGCTCCCCGCTCAAGGCTTAGACAAGGACCCAGGGGATCCCGAGTGACAAGACAATGACAACACCCACCCCAGAGATAGGGAACCAGAGCCTCGTCCTGCAGCCTGAGGGGCCTCTGTGAGGGGCAAGGCACCACCGGCCACGTCGTCCTGCAGAGGGGACGGGGCGGGGGCAGCGCGATGCAGGGAAGGGTGCGTCCCCCCTCGTTACGATCTCGCAGTGGGTTCTCCAGGGGGACACGTGCGGCTGCTCAGGCCAGCCACTCCGACGGGTGGGACCAAGGCCCGCGCCCCGCCCCGTTTCCAGACCTGGCCCGAAGGGCGGCAGTGTGGGCCCAGCCCGCCCTGGGCCACGCCCTGGGCCACTCACCGTCCTTGGCCACGTCCGCGATGGGCACGCTGTGCTTCTGGGCCATGTACCCCAGGAAGGAGAAGACCACGAAGCCGGAAGAGAAGCTCGTCAGGGAGTTGACTGAGGTGGTGATGATGGCATCTCTGGAACGAGCACCATGCCCATGCTGGAGCGCCGCTTTGCCTGCGAGCGCACCGGCCCCTCCTACTGCCCGGCGGGTGGGGACGGGGCCTCCCACTGGGACCTCGGGCTCCAGGCTGGGGCTCCGGTGCATCCCTGCCGTGACCAGCCGCTTGTGTCTCCTGGGACCAAGAGGCTCCTGGGACACACGACTCAGCGCTGAAGGTGAGACAGTCCCCACCAGCAATGTGGGGGCTCTGGGTGGGCAGAACCTACGACCTTGGGGGGCCCCACTCACACTGGGGGTGGCTGGTGGGGGAGATCTTGTTGGAATGCAGGTTCTGCAGGGGGAGGGGCAGGCGGTGCCTTTCCCAGCTGCCCCTGGAGGCAGGAGCCGCTGGTCTCGGACCCCACTCAGGGCTGGGGCGGGGCAGCCCACGTGGAGGGACGCCCCGGAGTGCCCAGGCCTGGGGGCACAGGGGGGCTGCGTGGGGCTGTCTCGTGGGGCTGTCTCGGGACATGCTCCGTGGGATCCCGGCCCCGGCCCGTCTGGCCATTTTGCTGCATAGACTGTCTTTGTATTTTTACTGCATTTTGTTCTCTGTGTGAAAACGTATACACGACCCGAGATGGTCAAACAGAGCAGGTCCCAGATCAAAGTCTGCTTCTGTTTCTAGAAGGGTTCTGGATTCAGCACGTAGCTGAAGGTCACGCAAGTCATTCTGGGCCGGGTGGCACAGCCAAGATGCCATCAGGGCTGTGGGCACGCAGCGTTGCCACTTCCTTGCCTGTCCCGTTCCCGGCCACCTGGGTGCCTCTGCACAGCGTCTGGGACAGCCCCCGGGACCCAGGCTCCGGGGACACGTGGGTGCTTCTTCATGGGGGGTCAGGGGAGGGGCTTGACCCTGTCCGAGTTCTGGGAGGACGGGCTGCAGGGGTCTGGCAGGGGTGGCGGCGGGAGGCGGGGGCGGGGAAGGGAGGCAGGGGCCAGGCGGTGCAAGGCAGGGCCTGGGGCGGGGGGCTGCTGCATTTGGAATCCCTGCAGGGAGGCGACACCCCTTCCCAGGTTTCATCCCCTTCCTGAAAGCAACCATCACGCTTTGCCCGCAGCTTCTCAACTAACTTCCCCCTAAGAAGCACTTGGCTCAGAGGTTCGCACACAGCTTACCGCCCGCGCTTCATCCGGGTCCCCCTGTGATGTCCGCCCCCCCCTTCATCCGGGAACCCCCTGCGACGCCCCGCCCCGTGACGCTGCAGCCCCCCTCCCTCCGACGGTGCTCAGCACCTACCTGTAGCAGTTGTTGGTGAATTCGTTGTAACTGGAGAAGGCGATGAGCACCCCAAACCCCAGGCCCAGCGAGAAGCATATCTGGGTGGCGGCGTCAATCCAAACCTGCAGCCAGGGCGAGACGCCGCTCTCAGGCCGCGGCCAGCGGGC